TCTCTCAAGGTTAATGAAGGAATACCTGTTAATGGGATAGGTAGGGTCTTGGTCATATTTATATCAATAAATATTTGTTGATTTCAACTATTGGTTACAATAAATCCAAGACAGACACAGCAGCTTCATTGATGTCTCCCATTGTATTGAAAATAAATGTATTCAGTCCAAAATACTTAATAAACCTAAATCATTTTAATTCATCTCAGAAAAGTGCCGCAAGAAAATTTTGTATTGTAATGTGATTGATTCAATTTGCTCACTAGCTTACAAAGTTTTTGATATAAATCTATCTATGTAGGGTGCAAATTTGAAAATCCCAAAGATAACATTTGGGAGGGTCTGCAAAGCTAAACTGAAGCTAAAAGGCAACAGAAGTAATGCTGTAAACTTTTCTCTATAAAGCTTTGAACACATCGAAGCACTATTCTAACTGTAAAACACTCTTTTAACCTTCATCCCTGTTTCATTCTGTTGTGTTTTTATTCTCTTTTGCTCCTTATTACAGCAACCACTAACCCCACTAAGTTAAATTTACAGTGCCTTTTCCTTTACAAAGGGAAATCTATCTATAAAGTTTGGGTTACTTTTGTATCCAGTCCCTTTCACTTTGTTAACCCTAAAAAGAATCCTGTGCAACCAGCAGTCTTCATGAATCACTGATTTTTTTAATAAAGTATAAATTAAACTGTTCTGTAAGAGGCCTTGGAGGTTTGTTAGAAAACATTGTTGAAAAAGTAACACCATAAGGACCAAAGAACACAGCAAGCATGGTTGTGAAGATGGTTTAGTTAGGTTATAAAAGAACATTAAAAGTAGAGATGCGCCGATCCATATTTAATATCAATATGAGTCCAGATAATTAAGAAAATTCCAGATTGGGTATCCTTTAAAATGATCATGATCCATAGACGCAGATATATCTACTCTATTTCTAAAATAGATTTAAGTTAGATTAAAAATCTCTTAAATAGATATGATGATAACATTAAAAAAAAGCAGAGATCTAGTATTGGAAAAGTATCGGAATCAACTGATATCCAAATGGAGGTATCTGAATTGTATTGGAAGCTTGAAAATGTGAATCAGCATCCCTAATACAAAGATATCCATGTGTAATTGAGCAATGTTCCATCTGTTACCCACAGATAGCAAAAATAGGGAACAACTGCAAACCTACAAACACATGGCTGCCTGTGCCTAAACTGGCACGCCCTGCAAGGAAAACATTAATCAAAAAAGCTACCATGAGGAGCTGCAGAGATTTACAGGTCAGATGGGGGAATTGGTCAACGTGATGATTGTTACAAATGTATTTATTACGAAATAAATTCAGCCTAATAGAAAAGTGTTGAAAAGCCGTATTTACTACTTGCAACAAACCATGAATGGTAGAATAAATCATAACTGCTCTGTTATCATGAGTCCAACACTGACAGTCGCAAGCAGCTAAAGATTGATTTGAAAACAATTAAATAAAATGTGCAAAGTGATTCAAATTTACTTTCAATAGTTGTGCTAAATACAAAGAGGCATTTTAATTACATATACAAAGAAAACTGTTGTATTTAACAAAAGCTCATTGTATCTAAAAAGCTGACTGTTATAACACCCAGTTTTGCTTTTAATGCATATTATTCACTTTTATATATTAGGTAGGCCATTTTCAGTGCTTAATCTACAGCCTACATGGCAATAATTTGGCATGAGCCCATTTTCTCAGAAAACCATAAATATCTAAATATATGTGGCATGATATTTAAACATAAATATTGTGCCAAAACACTAAAACATATCCAAATCAAGATGTTTAAGGTCTAATATAATTTGGACACAAGCCACACTGAAGAAATAATGTTTACATGTTTTTATATGTCTGCCATAAAATAAATATGTATGTTCTATATTGCTGTTCCAGAAGCGGTGTGTGAGTACTACTAACTCCACACAGTGTGGATGGTGGCCAAATGAAATAATGAACGTTCCTAGAAATGCAATAAAATTCACTTTCCTCAAAATCATGCACTTGCCAGACAAAGGGGCACAGGAACAGAGAAATGACAGATATTACCTCGTAATTACAACAATTAATCGAACATAAATGGAATACATCTACAGGAGTGGTAGTTTAGATTCCAATCACACTTTTGTATTTGGTCAGCTTACGTTTATTTCAAGTGTAGCGTTAGCCTTAAAATAACCTAAACTCTGTAAAACGCTTCATACTGATAGTATTCCTGTATTCTATAGTCTGCTTTCTGCCCCTGCATACTTGTATTTTTCCATTTGTGAGACTTTGGAGAGGGAAAGAAAATGATCATGATACTGCAGTCACTATGCTGAAGGGGTAGAACTGATGCCCTCTGTCTGAACCTATATGTCTGGCATAACATGTCCCTTAAAGTGGGATCATTAATGAGAATACGTTTAACACATTTATCACGCTATTCCATAAGTAGTGCCTGACAAAATGTAACACACTCCTTGAACCTTTTAGATTTTGTCACATTACAACTAAAACTTTATAATATTTTAATGATTTTATTTGCTAGACCAACGTAAAGTCGTCAGAAATTGAAATGTTGAATTATAAATGTTACTCAGCATTTTTGTTTGCAAAATAAATATTAATATTTCTTGCACATGCCCTTCCCCTTTTATGATTCCATATTAGCCCGCCTATTGTCACAGAACAGCTTGCCGCAACGAGTCTGAGGATGCAAATTTTCTAATCATTCTAAATTTATATTTGTTTTTAGATATGAACTTTGACTAGGACATTTGAACTCATGAATATGCTATGATCTAATCCATTTTGCTCTATCACAATATTTCGCTTGTCCTTTACATAAACACTGACCAGCTTTTCTTTCCCTTTAGATCTCAGTTCATGTTTAGCTGCACTTTGAATAGTTCAGCTTTGGTCTGAATTTTCCTGAGCATCTTCTATCACATGTTGTTTGTGTTTCTTATAGGGAAAATGCAAATTTGTATTTAGGGCTTTTTATGGCTTTCATATTACCACTCTTGTGTGAAATCCAGATTTGGGGAATTTTTTGCCCTGTCATCATATTCTTCCACATGTGCTGGTGATCTCTGCCCTTCTTGCATAGTTTATATGGACCATTTAGCAGCTTCTCTTGCTAATCTTCTCCTTGCTTTTCCTGTATGTGCATGTCTTGCTTGGTTTTTAGCTGTAACATACTCTTTCCATTTTCAAATGAAAGAGGATATGTTCAGGGTTTAGGATGTTGTTTTATACCCTAACATGGCTTTAAACTCCTCCATAAATTAAACTCTCATCTTTCTGGTGTGTTACTCTGTCTTCAGTGTGCTCTTTGTTCACTGATGATGAACACACCTCTGAGGGATTCACAGAACAGCTGTATTTATATTGAGGTTGAATTACATACAGATGGACACAATTTGGCAATTTTGTTCTTTTTCTAAGAAAAAAAAGGGGGAACCTGAATGCAGATCACACTCCTGAGATTTATTCGTAGAAAACATCAAAACATAAATAACCTTTAAAACACTGACAGCATGCAAGATAGCTCTAGGCTCATGCGTGCTTTTACAAAGCATTTAGTTGTGAAATAAAAATAAATGTGAAACAAGCTATTCTGTCTTAAAGTAATAATGGAGACAACTGCTGTGTTGCTTATTGAATTTTCTGCCTGACTTACTTTTATAATTTAGCCATGATTGATATATGTACTTAATGTGTCTTGGTTTTTTTTGGATTGTTAAGCGTGCAATAAATGGTTATTTGCCATGAAAATAGAAAAAAAAAACATTTCAAAATCACATTTGAAATATATTTACCATACAAACACTACATCACTTAAAATAAACAATATGAAACAGACAAAGGATGGTGCAATTTTGCTATATTTTAAGGAAGAGGATGAGGGCCACTGAAAAAATAAAATGTTAACTGATTTTTAAATACTATTTCAGTTTAACATGGGAAAAAAAATCAGAATTCTGACTTTAATTTCAGAATTCTGACTTTTTTTCCCTTTGAATTCTGACTTAAATCTCAGAATTCTGACTTTTTTTCCCTTTGAATTCTGACTTAAATCTCAGAATTCTGACTTTTTTCTCCGAATTCTGACTTAAATCTCAAAATTCTGACTGACTGGCAGCTAACAAACATGTTAGCATCAAGCTGTAGCCATGTTTGTTTAAGAGACTAGCTCTCTTGTTTTAATCACCTTCTGCTCCTCCGTTAATGAAATAGCATCACTGGGGACCCCTTGGGCACGTAAAAAGTTGCCTAATTTTGTCATTTTTCAACAATGTGTTACTGGCCCTCCCAAAAAACTTACTTCTTTGTCAGTGAAGCTGAGTGCTCCTACATCTCTCCTTCATGGTAACCATCTACATTACGATCCAAATTTCTGAGATTAAAGTAAGAATTTGGAAAAAAAAAAAAAGTCAGAATGCTGAGAAAAAAGTCAGGATTCTGAGATTAAAGTCAGAATTCTGACATTAGTCATTCTGACATTAGTCAGAATTCTGAGAAAGAAGTCAGAATTCTGAAATTAAGGTCAGAATTCTGAGATTAGTGTCAGAATTCTGAGGAAAAAAGTCAGAATTATGAGATTAAAATCAGAATTCTGAGAAAAAGGTGAGAATTCTGAGAAAAAAGTCAGAATTTTGAGATTAAAGTCCGAATTCTCAATTTTTTTTCTCAGATTATGCTGAAATAAAATTTAAAAATCAGTTAACTTTTTTTTGGTTTTGTTCAGTGGCCCTAATCCTCTTCCATAACATTTTTTTCTAGTCTTGACTGTACATTTTTTGTAAGCCACAGAATGATTTATTACATTTTCACAAAAAAAAATCCTTATGCTCATGATAAATATTTCTCCATTTCGCCTTACAAAGGGGATTTTCCCAAAGCTTTATTTTTATTTCCACGCCTAAACACTCGCGGGGCTCAGCAAAAACAAGCCTGGGCTCCAAACTATCCCGACAAATATCTGCGTGCCGGAGCACGCACGGCGGTGACGTAACATGAACACGTGGGTTTGTTGTTACAGGAAGTAAAGATGGCGGCTCAGTCCTTACTCTCAGAGTCTGCGATCGGATGGTCAATTTTCACTGTTGTTCTCTTGGTAAGCACTTTAACACATATATTTACCCCATAAAGTAGCTAACCGCGCTGTAAATGGCTATAATTCGACTTGTTCCAGAAGGTTCTTTAGGTTTTAGGTGCTGTTATCCAACGCAGTGAGGCTTCAGCGCATTGACGCCACTACTGGCTTTAGCTATGTTTAGCCATGACACACTTTCAGGCTCGTTGCTCTCTTTAAATCATCACTTTACTGAATTCGACTATAAAACCCCACAATTTATACAAATGCTTTATTATATATAACTTGTATGTATTTATGTTCAGATATAGTCTTTTCTCTGGTAAGTTTTCTCTGATGTAATGAATAGTCACATGATTGATAAAAGATTATGGTGGACCAATGCCTTCTCTTGGCTGTCCACCTTCCAGAGCTCCCTGGGATCTTATTTGAATGCAAAGGCTGCGTCTTTACCTGGCAGTGCAAGCAGCCAGAGGCTTAAAGCTGGGGGCCTTTAATTGATTGATCCTGTCTGTGAATGGCAGTCCTTGATATTAAGTAGCCTTTGTTTGCAGTGCCCTCACTTCCAGCAGTTTGTGTGTCTGGAATACGACCTTGCCATTTTGAAACTTTCTTTTTTTTCCTTAAGTTTTAAAATATTTTAGTGCTTCATTTACACCCCCCAGAAGTTTCTCTCCCATTGCATCATTGTTGACCTAGTTCATTAGGAATACTTTCTTGAAGATATAATTTTGCTTCATATTAGCTTGCAACTTTGTGTTGCATATTTTTACTAATTCTGTGATGAAAAAAAAAAAAAAAAAAGAAATGAAATTGATTAGCTGTCTCTGAGCAGTTTGCACCCACATTTCAGATTATTTCTGGAGATGCACTGATTTCTTTGCAGTAATCTAGAATGCTGTCTCGTTAAAAAGCCTCTTTCTGCATTTCAGTTTTTATTATCCTATTTCATTCAATTTTAGCTTTAAATATGAACTTTTTTATAGATGATGTATCTTTTAGGGCCCTTGCCCTAGAAAGATAAAAAATAAATAAATAAAAGATACTAAAATTGTGCTACAACATAAGAGTAAAGAAGAGAGGATGATGGATATTTTCAAAATCCTAGTGCAGCATTTTTTAAAAGTGGTAACTTATTAACTCTTAAAGGTTGGATTTCAATCTGGAAAGACAAAGTTTTTTTATTTTAGTTAAATTAGAAAAAGTAAATACAGAATTTTCCTTGATATTTAAAAATCATAGACACATTGTGTTAATTATATGAAACACAATATCTCTATTTGTTTTTTGTTTCATTAACTGCGAGTTAAATAAATAAAGCACAATTGTTCAAAAGATTTTTAATCTTAACTACTATCTTCTTTTTTGTTCAGGCAATCTTGGCTTTCTGCTGGATCTACATTCGCAAATTTCAGAGTCGGCAAGACAGTGAGGTGGTTTCAACTATCACGGCAATATGTGCACTGGCCATTGCTTTGATAACCTCGGCTCTCCTACCAGTCGACATATTTCTTGTTTCATACATGAAATATCCCAACGGTACCTATAAGGTCAGTGCCTGTTCTCTTAATAGCTACTGTGAAATTAGTTTGAAAGCAACATGATTGGTGAACATTGGTAGAGAATATTTTTTAAAGTTCTCTTAATCTTGATTTTCTTCCTGTAGTTAATATGAATTAAGTGTTTTTTTTTAAGTTCAGTTGTTTACTTCTAGCTCCTTTTGCACCCTAAATCATTGTCTCTTGGTCAGGGATGTCCTGATCCGATATAACCCAAAAAAAGGATTGGAATATATCCGCCGGCATTTCAAATCTTCGATTTAAGCAATAAATCTGATTGAAGTTTATGTGACCCATTAATAATAGCTACTCAAATATTCCCATACTTATTGTTGACTAATATTACTTTTATTAAATGTTTTATTAGGGCATCTCTGCTCTTTGCTTTAATGTAAACAAAGAATAAAAAATTTACTGCAAAAAGACGTTTTTTTTTCTTTGCCACATAGTTATAGTTGGGTAAAGAAGAATCTTTGATGGTGTTGTCATGGTGTTATGGAAGATCATTCATTAAATAATTTTAAAGATTTTCTAAATGTTTTCATCAAAGTATGTTCAGATATATTTCTGCCAACTTCAACATTTTCACCAGTCCTTTTTTTTCTAAACCTAAATTGTTTTTAATTTTTTTTTTAAATATTTCTAAACTCTAGTGGTCTTTATTTTGTTATTTTTTTTAAAAGTATGTAGACAGGAAAGTGTGTTTTTAAGGGAGTGAAGAGGCATTCAGCAAAGGTCCGCGGGACAGGGAATCGAACCAGTGACAGCCGGAAGATGGGTCATTCGTCAACTCCACACCATAGCAGCACCCCTGAACCTCAGTTTTTTTGATCAATTAGGGTTACAAGAAGTATTTATGTTTGGTAAATGTAAGGAGAGACTGATTTTATTTTTTTGTTTTATTCATAAATATATATCCACCATTTTACTATGCCTTTTATGTAAGATTTGCAAAACCTTGAAGATGGTGTAATAGCTTTGTAAGCTTTTGATACTAACTCCAAAGCAATTTTTTTAACTGAAGGCTGCAAATGCACCCAGTAAGTTAAAGTTGGGCAAATATAGGTCTTTTAAATCGACAATAACCCTTAACATTAAGCCTAAAGAGAAAGAATCTGATGGATTTAGGGCAACAAAGTCAATTTTCATAGTGGCCATAACGAAACCCTAATCTCTGGGCATGAAAAAACTGGAAACTTAAAAGAGATGTATTAGTAGAGAACTCTTGAGGATACCCAAAAGATTTTACCTTAGTCAAACTGTTTAGACTCAACTTTTTGCTGTTTTCTAACCCAGGAATGAACTACTACAGAGAAGCAGACTTCTGAATTTGAAGTAAAAGAAAAATCTAAAAAATATATTCTTGCGGCATTTATTATTGTTTATTATATACACTGGTCAAGAAATAAAGAGAACACATAAACAACACAATATAACTTCAGACGAATCAAATTTCTGTGAAATCAAAATGAAGGCAACAATGACAATCAATGCCACATGCTGTTGTGCAAGTGGAATAGACGATAGGTGGAAAAGCAAGACACACTCAATAAAACAGTGGTTTTGTGGGTGGGAACCAAAGACCACTTCTCAGTACCTATGGTTTCTGGCTCATGTTGTCACTTTTGAATGTTGGTGGTGCTTTCAAACTCATGTTAGCATGAGATTGACTTAACAACCCACATAAGTGGCTCAGGTAGTGCAGCTCATCCAGCATGGCATGTTAATAGGAGCTGTGTCAAGGTTTACTGTGTCTGTCAACGTAGTGTCCAGAGGGTGGAGGTGCTACCAGGAGACAGGCCAGTACATCAGGAGACATAGAGGAGGCCATAGGAGTAGGCCTGTCGCGATAGTCAATAAATCAATTAATCGCACGATAAATAAAAATTATCCACCTCATTTAATTTATCGGCTATATCGTCTCTGCCTGTGTTTTTTCTCCTATTGATGACGCTGGATGAAAAGGCTTAACTCCGGTGCTATCTACTGACCCCTCCCCTTCCTCATTTTTGAGGAGGGAGGAGGAGGAGGGGACTATCGCATCAGGTAGTCAGCGCGCATCATTTTGTACTTCTGCAGCTTTAGAGCCCCATGAGGAGTTAAAGGAGACAGCGAGGTAAAAAAAAACCCACATCTTATTTTGGGGGGAAAAAGCTCGAAATGGAACTGGTTTGAAAGCCGAGCGCAACAGCAGCAGTGTGGGAGTATTTTGGATTCAAACCAAATGACCAAGGCGAACCGCTGAACCTATGCGAGCCAGTATATTGCATTTGTCATAAAACAGTAGCAACTAAGAGCAGCAATACAACCAACCTACACATGCACCTAAAGCACAACCACCCAGCAAAGTTTCTCTAGCTGGAAACAAAAAGTACAAGCGGTGGCCCGTCTGTGTCTTCAAGTTTGCGACAGTCCACCATCACTGAAGCAATTAATCGACAGGCAGCATATAAAAAGAACGGCGCAAAGTGGCGTGCGGCCGCGCGCTCACAAACAGCGTAGTTCATTTAATTGCTAAAGAGATGCTTCCATTTAATATTGTTGATTAGCCGGCATTTCGAAAAATGTTCCAGACATTTGATAGACAGTATGAATTCCCAGGAAAAAAAACATATCACCAACGTGATATTTTGTATATATGTTTTTATTTTCACTGTGGTTTTATCTTGTGTTTAGTTTTTATTCAAGTGTATTTTAAGTTAACAGAGACTGAGAGTCCATTTGATTTTTACTTCTTGTTTTAATTTGTTAACCAGTTCCAGTGTTAAGTGTTCTGTTGAAAATAAAGTGTGTTTATCTTTGGCAGGAAAATGCATGCATTATTACGTCATTTCCATTAAATCAGTGTAAAAAGGTCTTCAAACAATATTATCGTTTATCGCAATCATTTTTGAGACAATTAATCTTTCTGCAAAATTTGTTATCGTGACAGGCCTACATAGGAGGGCATCAACCTAGCAGCAGGGCCACTAATTCCACCTTTCTGCAAGGAAGAACAGGAGGAGCTCTCCCAGAGCTCTGCAAAATGACCTGCAAACAGCAACAAATATGCATGTGTCTGCACAAACGGTTAGAAACCAACTCCATGAGGATGGTATGAAGGCCCATCCACAAATGGGCATTGTGCTCACAGCCTAACACCGTGCAGGACGCTTGACATTTGCTATTCACCAGGATTGGAAAATTCGCCTCTGGCACCCTGTGCTCTTCAAAGATAAGCACAAGTGACAGATATGACAGAGTCTGGAGACACTGCATAGAGTGATCTGCTGCCTACCACATCCTTCAGCATGACCAGTTTTGCAGTGGGTTAGTAATGCTTTGGGGTGGCATTTCTCTGGAGGGCCATCTCTGCCATCCATATTCTCGTAAGAGACACCCTGATGGCCATTGCATACCGAAATGAGATCCTCAGACCCTTTGTGAGACCATATGCTGGTGTGGTCGGCCCTGGGTTCCTCTTAATGCAGGACAATGCTAGACCTCATGTTGCTGGAGTGTGTCAGCAGTTCCTGTAAGATGGAGGTATTGAAGCTATGGACTGCCCATTACCCAGTTCTGAATCTGTTTGAGTACATCTGGGAGATCATGTCTAGATCCATCTAGCAATGTCAAATTGCACCACAGACTGACCAGGGATTGGCAGATGTTTTAGTCCAGGTCTGGGAGGAGAACCTTCAGGAGACCATGTGCCACCTCATCAGGAGCATTCCCAGGCATTGTAGGGAGGTGATACAGGCAGGTGAAGGCCACACACAATACAGAGCTTCATTTTGAGACGTTTGAAGGACATTTCATCCAAGTTGGATCAGCCTGTTGGTTTTTTTCCACTTTAAATGTGAATTTTTTACTTCAAATTCATGCCTCCATTGATTAATAAATTTGATTTACATTGATTATTTTGGGGGGGGGGCTTTTGCTTTTAGCACATTCAACTTTGTACAAAACAAAGTATTCAATGAGATTACTTCATTCATTCAGATCTAGGATGCGTTATGAGTCTTCCCTTTCATTTTTTGAGCATTGATCTTTTTGGTAATCCCAATGCTTCCAAAATGGGACATTTAATCTTTATCATATTAACAGTGTTATTTATAGTGTTTACATTTGTTTCCAAAGTCCTTATCTAAGGAGCATTAAGAGCAATAGCCATATACTTATTAGGGCGGCATAAACTACTTATTTTCTATTGTCTTAGTGAATTATATATGGACTCTTATTTTTGCTTATCCTCACTCTGTGATGGTGTTAAAACTGACATCCAATTGTTTGTTATTACATCTGTGAAGCCAAATGAAATTTGTCCTTGTGTTTTACAGGAATGGGCAGCAAACAATGAGACAAGAAGCCAGATTGAAGCCACTGTGTTGTATGGTTATTACAGTAAGTCTTTTCTATTAAATGTTAATGAAAAATGAAATAAAAAGGTTTAAGTGATAAGTGTACATGTTTGTGTAGCTGGCATTGTTTACCTTTAAATATAGGTGGGAGTATCCCATATCTCGCCATACAATACCTAACAGCTGGGGTCTGTCTTACAAATTCATCAATTCCAGGTGGTTGGCACACAATCTATTCACAATTCATGCTGGTCTTAAGTGATTTTTATTTTTTTCACATGGTGACTCATTTACACTTATGGTGTGCTATAGATCTCTTTAGCAGAGGTAACAAAAAAAAAGAAAAGAAAACCTTGCAGCTGTTTCCTTCTGAAACAATTTTGGTGTTTTAAATGGCTTATTTGAAACACTGCAATTCCAGCAGATAATATATTAAAAAAATATATTATGCTATACAGGTTAAAGCTGTTACACTGACTATTTTTGCTGTTAAAGGAATTGATACTTTCTTTTGAAATTCTCTTTAATTTGAACAGAAAAAGAAAAAATATATATATTTAGTAGAAAAAGGAAAAAAACAAACAAAATATAGTTAAGATAGGATAATAAACCAACAGATGATATGCTGTTGCTGTAATTGAAATAAATTCCTCTTGATTCTTGTAGACTCAAAAGTGAATAATGCCTTATTATTTACTGGGTTCCTATGTGTCCTTAATTATTTGATAGTTTGTGATTTGGAAAAAATAAGTTCAAGAATGCCACAAAAAGCTATAAAATGACTTCAGGGCGACTGCTGTCAGTGTGTCAATATTTTTTGTTTATTCGTTGCTGCTTTCTTGTGCTTCCTCCTTGCAGCCAGTGTAGTTATCTTGTGTGTAACTGCAGATGCATCGGTTCATACAATGTTCTCGCTGGTGACTGATATTTTTGCCCGCACTTTGAGTCGGAGTCATCGGGTCTATGTGTAACTGCAATGCAGAGAGAATGTAAATATTAGGATGTCTGGCTTTCCTAAAGAAGCTATCCTGAGTGATTGTCAAAGAACACAAAAAAATGAGCAGGTGCAGAATCTGCTGCAAATAGATCAACTAGCATAAGAGTCGCTACCATAATGAACAAAGCTGCTGATGCTGTTTCAGACATAATTAATATACAGTTAAACTACCAGGTTGTAAAGAGGCCAGTCACTCCCAGATTTCCAGAATATCTGCCTGTGGTTTTATATCTAAAGAATTTTAATGCCAAAATTTCTTTTTAAATTGTGACATTACAATTTATTAGATTTATGTAAATGTGTGTATAAATGTAAATGTATATATTTGTTTCCTATAGAAGTACTGTTCTTGTAACGTAGGTGTTCAAACAATTTTATATTTACTATATTTTCCCTGGAATTTTAATTATCTCCATTGCTGTGACTTCAACAGGTGAGTTTATAGTTTGATGAAGTGTGAAATTATGCGCACGTGTCATTTATGCTGATTGTGACTGATTGTTACAAACTCAAAGCAAGAAAAGGGAAATCCTGAACTCTCAAGCTCTTAATCAAGATTTGTTAATTGTGGTTATGTAGTTTAGAAAGTCCTAATCGTTGTTTTTGAAATAAAATTGGAGGGTCAAGTGCTTATTTTCCTATTAAAATAGGGTTTTACATTCCTCTTTAAAAGATTGCTTAAAGATAAAGAGGATTTTTTTCTTTGCTCATTCTTGATTTTAATTTTCTATCATTGACTTTGTTCCTGGATGTTGTCTGCTCAATTTGTTTTTTTAGTTGCCATTGTTACTTCCCAGTGTGGTGTTCACCACTTCAGGACATTTAGAAATTTTAAAATGTGTTTTATAAATACATTTGAGTTCTTGTTTCTTCCATGTGCAGCCTTTGAAGTTGTCTTAAAAAATGCTGTGTGTTTTATCATGATTTGCATCTATCTTCTGTTCTTAAAATGTGCCTAGATTGTGTACTGTAGAGTTGTTCCCTATGGTTTGCCTTCATTGTGAGAATAATTGTTACGGGGCATTGATTATTGCTACAACTTCAATGAAGAAAGCAGTTCAGAGTCCAGTTCTTAAAGCATTGGAAGATTGGGAAAGTTAAGATAATATAGGACATGTACCAGTTTTCTGTGTTGGCTGGGACTGTATAACCTTTAGCAAGCAGCTTTCCTGAAGGCCACTGGTGAAAGGGCAATTTTAGATATTAAACGGTCTTCCTCTGTATTTTGGAATCTGTCGGCACACAAGAATTCCAACTCTTCACCTTCTGACCAATGAAATGTTATCAGAGTCCATCTATGACCCAAAGACTCCACTGAGCATGTGAGTCATTGTTGCACACTTTTCTACAAAACACTTCTGGTAAAAAAGGAAAGGTTAGATTATGGTGTTTACAAGGTAATATTGTCCTGTCATTACTTTCAACATTACAGTTATTTATAGCTGTTTATTTAGTCTATTTTTATAGTGCTACAGTTCTTTGTTCAGAATCGACACATAAATGATTTAAGATGGAGGCTGACCTTTGCCTGTACTACTGTGTCAAACTGACACCAGTTGATGCCTACATCTAATGAACAATATCATCTTTGTTTATGTGAAGAACTGGACTAATTACAGCAATGAGATTCATTGTTATCATTTGAAGGATCTTTTAATCTCTTTATTTTAGAATAAAATGGAATTGAATGGCGTTAATAGAGCTGATGATTTTCACATCATTGGGCAGATCCAGATAGAAGCCTCTCTATCAACACATCCCAGGTGATGTTCATTATAGTAAATCCATTCATATGTCCTGCTGGGTGAATAAGTTATTACCTCTAACTTACATTAGTCCAATCCTAGTCATCATTAACAGAGTTTCTGCTTGTTCTTGTGCACACCACACACCCAGCTTCCCTTCTCACGTTGACTCTGTTGCTGCTCTTGCTGTGCTTCCTATTGTAGCCCTGTTGAAGTGTTCAGTGTTAATTTCCAGGTATAATCAAAGCAGCCCTATGAGCACCTACTGCACTGTGGTACTGGGCCTCTAGACATCTGCTCTGCACCACACCTGTTGTGCAGCTCTGAAGACAAATGTGAACAAATAATATTTTTTCTTACTTTTTTTTTTTACTTTTTTTTTTTACTTTTTTTTTTACTCTGTCAGGTTAATTGGAGCAAAAAAGAATCTAATATATATTTATAAATATATATATATTTTTTACCTAAATGTTTCTTTTTTAAAGAACTTTCTCAGCAAACTGACTATTTTTGCTGTTAATGAACCAATTTGATTTTAAGGACTGTCAGGAGGCGGGACAGAAACCCATATCACGGGGAAACCTGGGTTATTCTAAGACTCCCTGTTAGCAAAGCTAACATGCTTGCTGCTTAGCTGTTCTAATCGATGAATAGCTTAACGGATGGACGGACGGATAGATTTTTAAAATAAAACCTAAAAAATTGGGCACACCCTATGCAATGTATGCCTAAATCAAAAATTTTCTAATTGTTTACTTTTGATCAGGTTATATGGAGAGGGTGTTCAGTATGTGCAATACAACACAAGTATATCTGAGTGTTTATCTTAATCCATTTTTTTTTTTTAACAGACACTTAGTCTACTTCAAGTGTCTGTTTTCTCCAATCCAGGGCTATTCAGAAAATATCAGCTCAAGTCTAATGGTGCATCTACAGGTGCTGGTCATAAAATTAGAATATCATGAAAAAGTAGATTGATTTCAGTAATTCCATTTAAAAAGTGAAACTTGTATATTATATTCATACATTACATACAAACTCATATATTTCAGATGTTTATTTTGTTTAATTTTGATGATTACAAATGACAACAAATGAAAATCTCAAATTCATCATATCAGAAAATTAGAATATTGTGAAAAGGTTCAAAATTGATGGCCCCTGGTGCCACACTCTAATCAGCTAATTAACTCAAACCACCTGCAAAAGCCTTTAAATGGTCTTTCAGTCTAGTTCTATAGGCTACACAATCATGGGGAAGACTGCTGACTTGACAGTTGTCCAAAAGACGACCATCGACACCTTGCACAAGGAGGGCAAGACACAAAAGGTCATCGCTAAAGAGGCTGGCTGTTCACAGAGCTCAGTGTCCAAGCACATTAATAGAGAGGCGAAGGGAAGGAAAAGATGTGGTCGAAAAAAGTGTACAAGCAAGAGAGATAACCGCACCCTGGAGAGGATTGTGAAACAAAACCCATTCAAAAATGTGGGGGAGATTCACAAAGAGTGGACTGCAGCTGGAGTGAGTGCTTCAAGAACCACCACACACAGACGTATGAAAGACATGGGTTTCTGCTGTCGCATTCCTTGTGTCAAGCCACTCTTGAACCACAGACAGCGTCAGAAGCGTCTTGCCTGGGCTAAAGAGAAACAGGACTGGACTGCTGGTGAGTGGTCCAAAGTCATGTTCTCTGATGAAAGTAAATTTTGCATTTCCTTTGGAAATCAAGGTCCCAGAGTCTGGAGGAAAAGAAGAGAGGCACTTCATCCACGTTGCTTGAAGTCCAGTGTAAAGTTTCCACAGTCAGTGATGGTTTGGGGTGCCATGTCATCTGCTGGTGTTGGTCCATTGTGTTTTCTGAGGTCCAGGGTCAACGCAGCCACATACCAGGAAGTTTTAGAGCACTTCATGCTTCCTGCAGCTGACCAACTTTTTGGAGATGCAGATTTCATTTTCCAACAGGACTTGGCACCTGCACACAGTGCCAAAGCTACCAGTACCTGGTTGAAGGACCATGGTATCCCTGTTCTTAATTGGCCAGCAAACTCTCCTGACCTTAACCCCATAGAAAATCTATGGGGTATTGTGAAGAAGAAGATGCAATACACCAGACCCAACAATTCAGAAGAGCTAAAAGCCACTATTAGAGCAACCTGGGCTATCATAACACCTGAGCAGTGCCACAGACTGATCGACTCCATGCCACGCCGCATTGCTGCAGTAATACAGGCCAAAGGAGGCCCAACTAAATACTGAGTGCTGTACATGCTCATACTTTTCATGTTCATACTTTTCAGTTG